CATTGTTCGAGGGAAGCAAGAATTCAAGAGCCAGATGTTTTTTTCTACCAGTTAGGAACCCTTCCCATATTACATCGTCCAGGTGATTCCCATTCCCATTACTCATCCTGCATCAACTAGACTGGTCAGATGAGATTTTCCATACTGCAGTATGGGAAATTTTGTCATATGGGAAAACTTCAGTTCCTCTAACTAGCACTGTTCTAACAGGAAAATGAATTTTCAAGCGTATGAACGGGACAGCCAGCATCAGAACTACAACTGAGGTTCAGGGTTCAGATCACCCTATTGAAAACACAGCTAGCATCATTCTTGCCCGCATCCTTTATTTCAGCATACAATCAGTGCAAAGATAGGGCTATGACCTTCAAAGCTGTTCCCGCTATCCCAGATGAATTGATTCACACAGAAAGGACAGAGAGCCACAGCAGGGGTTTGGTGACATTAGCTTCTACTGTAAGTGACAGGGAAAAAAAAAAATCAGAGCAAAAACAAGAGGAGTAACACTGGTATACTTACAGGACAGTGCAAAAAAGCTGGTGGACAGACAGAGCGGCTCCTAATTGAAGTCCGCCCTGTATTCGAGAGTGCTAGAGAGCTCAAATGCACTCCCTGGCAATTCTCACACCACAAAGAGCTCCAAAAGAAACATAAAAGCGCCTTTTTTCTCTTAGTGTTAATTAATATCAATGAAGCACACAAAAAATCAAAAGCAACAGGCTTCTTGGAAGCAGCAGAGGAACTCACAGGGGCCATGCTTGTTTGCTGTACTTCATTAGTATGTAAAATACTCAGAGATTCATCAGGTAGCTTTGCCCTTGTCCTGCCTGCTGTGCAGTGCTGCAGATACCTGGGTTTTCAGCTCACTAAGTGCTTAGGAAACACTATATCTTAAAGGGAGACAAATAGGTGAAATGTCCATTCAGAAATGTCAGTTCCTGAGGAGTTAAGTTATGGAACTGTTCTGGAGAAGATGTGTTTATAACAGAGAGCATAAACCATCATCATTTCAATGCCAAAGCCTGCAGGAAGCTAACATCATTCTGCACTGCCTTGGAAAACCTGTTTTCAGGAAAACGTTAAGTCCTTTTGCCCTGGGCAAGGTATCCCCCCTGTGCTGCTTGCCTGCTATCCACAGCAGCGCTGTGCTGGCTGGATTCCCAGACCAAGGGCAGGGCAGTGGCTAGAAAAAATTCCCTAACCAGCCCAAAAGAGACCGAGCGGTACTTGGTTCCTCCGAGGCCCAGGGACTACCGCCACGCTTGAGCTGTATTTGTAGCCGAGCTCCCCTGCCCAGAGCCGGAGGCAGACACAAACGCGCCCTCCAAAGCCTCTCCGAGGACGCAGCGCGCTTCCCTCCTCCGCTTCGTCACCCCCTCCCTGCCCTTACATAAGCAGGGGTAATCGAGAGGCCACTGCCCTTTCGGCGTGAATACGCATCACAGCCCATCTGCGGGCTCACAAGCCCTTTTTGTTTGTTTTTTTCGGCTACTGCTGCCAGAGGAGGAAACTAGAACCACTCCACACAGGCCTGCGGTTACAACGGCATCCCCCCCCCTCCCGCCAGCCTCATTTCTTATTTACCCACGTTTGGGCTGGGGTCCTCGCTCCTTCAGTCTGTCGCGTGGGCCAACGGAAAGGGTTGCAACCTTTACCGTCAAATAGCACACTTAATAGATAGTTGGCGTCAATACAGTCCGGGTCAACTCTATGAAATTAATTCCCCGCTGATATTATATTAGGAAGATCATTTTACAGACAAATGAGGGAGGAACTAAGAAATAAAAAAATGCGTTATCAGTAAATTTTAGAAACAAATCTCTTTCTTGTGGTTTTACAGGTAAATGCATAACCGTATGAAGTGTTTGTGGCTGCTCCATGGGGCACAGGGAAGCCCAACAGCCTGTGTGTCCTCCTCCCCCCAGCTCTGCCCCCCACCATGGGGGCCTGTGTAGTGCAAACTCCCAGGTCCCATGTAGCAGGGACACAAGCACGGAGTCTCGCTCCCCGTTTTAGATCTTCCTCCCTGGACAAACCAGTCCGCAGTTCTCCAGCAGCAGGAAAGGAACCTGAGAGCAGCCTGGGGTAAGGATCTGGCCACCCCTCACTGGCTGCCCAGGCAAGACAGGTATGGGAAATAGGTTCGAAAGACTATGAAATAGAAAAATAAAGGTGCAAAATCTGCAGAGATCAAAAGAAATAGAGTAATAACCTGCTGTGAGCGTACAAATTCCCTGGAATGAGCTCATGTGCTGTCATTTTCCACCAGTCCTCTCAACTGATTGCAGCATATGCAAGCAAGCAAGAGCCCTGAACGATAGCAGATGAACACAACTCATTTCTTCCATCATTTGAAAGTCATTATGATTAGAGCACCACATGCACCAGAAGCATCAAATTAAATACCCATCACAAGATCAATCCCCATTATCCCCCGGGTTTCTGCAAATTAACACTGCAAATTAAGTTTTCCAGTGAAAGAACTTTTAATTTGTTTTATTAACAATGATTTAATTGTGCCTACTTTTAAAACACAAGATGATCAGAACAAAAGTTGTCTTTTTAAAATAGCTACCAAAGCTGTAGCTAACAAATATTTCACTACGCCATGTTACAACTGCAAAATGATAATGTGAGAAGAGGCTACTACTCAGTATGATGTTAGGTTTCTGAGTGAATGCTAAGCCTCTAAAATAGTGTTTCCATGGGCTCTAACTGTGGGAAAAAACCCAACAGATTCAGAACGAAAGACAAACCAGCCTGAAGAGTTCAGGCATCAGGAGTATTAAACGAGTACAAAACCTAGTGGTTCTGAGTTTTGCATGAAGTTATTGTCTTATTTTATGGCATAATATTTGAAGAAACTAACTTTCCAATCCAAAGTTGTACTTCTCTTGGTTACTAAACCTGTGCATTACCAAGCATTAAGCGAAACTGTAGGAAAGTATAGTCATTAAACAATCAGAGATAGCAGGAAAGTAGGGAAAATGCAACAAGAGAACCAACTTGCAAATCATTTTACCCATCTGTACTGCAAATCAAGTCTCTAACTTCAGAGGTTCGCAGCCTGCTGAGACACTACAGGCATTGCCTGATAAAAACATTCACAAGCACAACATGGTCTCTGCACTACAAACAAATTCCTAAGATTTTGATTCGTCAACCAAAGATAGGTAATCTAGAACACTGTAGCAATACTAACAAATACCACAAAGCACAGAATAAACAGGAACTATATGTCTGCCAGTTCACTATCATCACCTTTACCATAAAATGCAAGATTCTGGCTTAGACTTGCTGGATTTCTTTATGAAGTGAGACAATTAACACCGGGGAACAAGTCTCCTAGTTCAGTATGCCTCAGAACAATACCAAACCTTTTTGAATTATTTCCACATACAACAAAAAGTACAGAATGATAAACACAGAAAGTAGAAAATCATTCCACAATGTATCATTTATGTAAATTGTGAAACTGAATTCTGTAGAAATCTGAATTAAGAAAATCAAAACCAGGTACCATTTATTGGATGCTATTCACTTGAAAAACAAAGCTAGACTTATAGTAGGAATTCTCAGATGTGTGTGTGAATACCGGGAAATTACTCCAAAATATATGATTTATGCCTACTGCAAAGTACCTGCTAGTAATTTAGCTTCAAATGGCATCAAGCATTTCTAGATCCCCCAAATTTGCTCATTTTCCCATTTCATCTTTTACTAGCTTTCCATGTGTCACAGGAAAGCTGAAACTGCTAATATAAAGTGGCAAAAGAAAACCTTCTAAAACAGCAATTCTTTCCCCAGATATTGTTAAGGATTAGCAGCATACACCGTCACACAAGCAGAAAAAGAGAGAAGGCAGAGGTAAAACATACATAATGCTGGATTGCTGCATTTCAGAAAGCAGATAATTCCACAGTGGGTTAAATTATTTTCTCTCGGGGCATGTAAGTACACATCACTATGGAAAACAGAACAAATATATTATTAGCTCCCTCATATCCTAGTCTATGCAGGCCACTGTGGAGCAACTTCTGCCCCCTCTTTCACGACTGTAGATGATTTCCACAGCAGCTGGCTATGTTTGTCAATTTGAAACATGATTTGGGAAGTCCTTTTTGCGCCATTACCACTCTTTGGACCAGTTACAGCCCCAATTCAGTGAGGTGCTTCAGTCTGTGGTCCCAGGAGAGCACTGAAACAAGTGAGCCAATGTATCTACTTCATCTTTTAACGATTTAGATCCTCTGGACAAGCTGTGATTTCCTACAGTTGTAAAGATCTGCAAAAAATCACCCTCGTGGCTCCTCCACAAGCCAGATACACTGCCCTAATTACTTCTAGGAACTAAATGCAGTTCTGTAATACCGAGCTAATTAAGAAAAAAAGAATTTTAAGTAGGAGATCAAGGCAGATCTGTAGATGCGTATATCTAAGTGTGTGCGTGCGCTTGTGTATCATGTTTGTGCTTTATTAACCTTCTGTTAAGGTTTAATTCTCATTGGATCATATTTACATCATAAAGGAGATTGAGCTCAGATGATTTTTGCAGGCTAAACATTTTAAACCTTGGAGTTAGATTTAATTTCCTGCTGTTTTGAAAGAGTTTAATGCAGTGAAATACGTTCTGGAAGTAACACACGCACATCCCAGGATCTGCCACGTAACGACCAATTTCTCTGTTTTCCAAGCAGATCACAGATACTAATTTCAGCCAAGGATAGCATGTTCTTATCAACTACTACAGCCAATTGTTTTGTATCCTGTGGGCCGGATACAACCGAGTTCTGATCTGAAAGCAGAATTCTACAGAAACAGCTCATTGCGAATCTGTATTCCCCCCTAAAAAATCTCCCTCAGGAGAGATTAGGCAATGATTTTGCTATCCAGCCTTCTCACAGGAGTGAGGCCAGTTTTAGTTCTGCTTTGCACTCCTTTAGAGTAAACTGCTGAAAAAATCTGGTAAGCACTCACCCACGCAGCTGCTCCAGTCTCACCTTTCTCCCAGACAGGTCTGTCTGCTGCAGGTGGATCCACCAAAGGCAATTTTCACCTCTGTGAAATTTTCCCAAAGCTCTTTGACACAACTTGCAATCAGCAGAAGCAGTTATAAACCCAGTGATGAACCTGCACTGAATTCAAACCCACATCCAGCTTCACAATCATTACCTCCAAAGCTGTATGATCACTTGTAATGGGAAAAGAGCTCCACACATATAAGAAAAAGCTGTAGGAGTGAGTCACTGCTGTACAGTTGTTTCATTCCAAAAGTACTTTCAGGAAGTTTGTATCTCTCCATATGCTGTCCCAGGGTAATAAACTCAGAAGTAAAATTAACAGCAGAAATATGTTCTTGCTTTGACTGTAACAGAATAGCTAAATTCATTCAAACCACAAAATCAGACTGAAAAGTAATAAAATAATGCAATTCCAGTGTAAGGTATTTTGAATCTGAACAAAAGGCGAAAACAACTCAGAAAACCATATTGCTGTAACTAAGGAAGTCAATGCTACCTTCCCCCACAGCTGTAAATCACTGACCTTATGAAGCTGCATATGCAATAAAAATCAAAAAGCATATATATCAGCTGACAAAACCAAAAAAACAAAAGCTTTCCCAGATGTATTACCTCTACAGTTTTACCTCTAGCCAGCAGGGTTATTTGCCCTCCACTTTACTCTTGTTAAAATCATGTCTGTCTTTTTTCCCCTTGCTATCTTGCTTCTGAATTATTATTTTTTCCAGCCTTCTACAGAATGACATCTCTAGACCTGTGTGCAGCTGAGCAAATCCAAACAGAGTTAAAAACAAAACCAAAAAACCCCAAGGTTTGCTCCTCTGAAACACACAGATGAAGACTAATCTTCAGGAAGGGTGCAAATAGTCCTGTATTTCCTCGTCTCTCTAGCTAAGAGGGATTGGTGCACCCTTTTCTGGGGGACATGGGGGTATCTCCCAGGCGGCCCTAGCACCCAGCAGCAGAGCTCCCAGCACTCAGCTGGCACGCGCAGAGCCGCACTGGGCAGCTCAGTCCCGGCACACAGCAAGAGCACATCCCACGCACGGGCCTCAGAGAAGCACGTTGGAAAGGCAGGCAAGGGAGGGAAGGAAAACACATGACATGGCACCGAGAGGCCCTGCAGATCTGTGTGGATTTTTTTCTGATTGGAAAGTTTTTTGGAAACAGGATTTTTTTCCAGCAGCCAGGGAACATGCAGCATTAGCATTCCTGAAAGCCAGCTAAGGGCAGGCAGTCCTGTGGCTTTAGGACCCAACAAAACCAATTTTGCTGCTCTGTCCATTTCTGTGTGCTGCCTGGTGGCTAAGAGCTACCTCTGTTGCCCTGCAGTAGCTATTGGCAGTGAAGTTCTGGAGGACAGAAGTATAAATGGGTTGAAGCATAGAAACCTTATGAAGGACGCATCCATCAGTAGCAAGAACAGCAGTCTGGACACAAGCTATAGCTCAGAATGCTCCTCTGAAAACAATGATTACCAGAAGTGGGCAGTTGTAACATATGTATCTATAGCTATCTCTATATATACAACACTCACACAGCTTAAATTCCTGTTTTAGCACCTAATATCGACTACCATGGGAGACCTACAGTCTGACCTGACATTGCCATTATTCTGTCACAGACAAATAATTACTAATGCCCCTTCTTACTACGCTTACATGCCTAGGTGTGCTCTTGCAGCAGTAGATGCAAAAATTTTAAGCACACCTGGTGGTATCACTGAACAGTTAGTCAATGGCCAGCCAGCTGCATCTGCAGGTGCATCTGTAATGTCCTAAGGTACACTGCCTTAGAGAGATGACAGTGAGCTTCCTTCCTCTTCCTTCCACCTCATTGCCCCTCGCAGCAGGTGTGTGATTTAGAGATCAGCAAGGTCCTGGCTTGGAGGCAAGTGCTGCTATGTTGCTGCAGCAGAGATTAGGGGCCATGAGGATGCCCTACCAGTACTGCCCAGCAGGCCAGCAGGATGCACTGCTTCTACATGGATGCACTGAAAAAACCTACCTTCCCCTTTCCAGCCCTCATGCTACTAGCTTACTTTAAAAGCACCTATCATTTGATGGTTTCTGGGTTGCAGTACGTGTTTGTCTGAGAACAAGAACAATGTTTCATAACAAGCAGGATAACACAACTGGACTGTCAGTGTGTATAAATCTTTGACTTTCTCAAAGTCAATAGCTGGCAGCATATTTCACAAATTAAGTGGTTTTGCACACATCTACATATTAAATATCACCAGGGACTAAAGTAGAGTTTAGCCCCACCTTGGAGCAAAGGACTAGGGAGTGGAAGGATGAGGAGCAAGCCTTGTCTTAGCTCCTAATAGGTAGCACTGGCAGATAAAGCAAAAAACAAAGGAGAAAGTTCAGTAACTTGATAGCATCTACCTCAGATCTCTCCCACCCAAGATCCAGATCCATCTAACTAGCAGAGGGCTCAAAGCCTGAGCACTCTCTGCATCTGATGACCCCCTTTTTACCAGGCTCCAAAGTTGTTTTTAAAGAGCTTTTAGTCTGGCTTACTAAAAGATGCAGATTGATATGAAGGACTAAAATGCCCAGTACTCTGAGGCAGCTGGTGAGGGTTCCCCTGAAACTAAGCAAGCTCAGCTTCTACTTTACTATTCCTTATCAAAGACTGCATCTTAAGCCAGTCTGAAAACTGAGCTGGGGAAATACAGTCTTGATGGAAAAATTATGTTGTAATCAGGAAAGCATTAGAAACAACATAATCCCAATCTTACTCGCAATTTAGATCAAGGCTGGCTCCAGCACATTTGGTCAAGTTATGTTGAAATAAAGACTCTATAAATAGAATCAGAATCTGGCCCACAGCTCTGGATTATATCAGGTTGGTGACACAAAAAAGTCAAGTCTGAATACATGCACTGAGAATGAAGTGCAAGCACTTTAGAAGATAAAAGTCCAAGACTGCAGGACTGGAGGCTTCACAGACCGTTTGTTGTTCCGTGTAAATTCAGTATGAACTACATTCACTTCATACAAAGGTGAAAAGAAATCTATAGGATGCAAAGGAATGAGAAATTAGGTTCTTTAGGTGAGCTGAATGCCTCCTGTTGACAGATCTGCCTCCTCAGGACATCCCCTGCACACACCTCCATGCTTGTCTACACACAAAAGTTCAATGGGTTCAACTTAAAATAGTTACTTTTTTTTTTTTTTTAGGAGCTGTTGACATTCGTTCCTCTTGATCCAGACTGACTTTATTGCTTTAACTTGAAGCTGTATTTTTACCTACATAAGTGCACTTAAAAGTGGTTTGAAAGTATACAGACAGTTGCATAGCTTTATTTCCACTTATCTCCACTCATTCTCTTAAACTGGTGCAGTTTTGTACCAAGGTCAGGCTTCGCAGTGTTCTCGAAATTACAGTTTGGGATTCTTTCACTATTTCCTGCAGGTCCTCTAAGAGCTTGCACAAAGAATCTGGGACCAATTATCATGAGATAGCTAAAACAAGAGTGTAAGTAAGTTGATTAGTTAAAGAACATGAAATTGAAATCAAACAACCTTTTTACTCTGCCTCAGGACAGAAATTTAGATGCTTCCTAAGAAAATGTAAGAAAAAAAAAAAGATAGTAAGACCTCAAGAAATATATCTTGGTACTAATAATTTGAAAGCTTTATTTTCTGGAACTAAGAACAACATAAAAGTAAGCCTTCTGAAGAAGGCTTAGGAGAAAAAAAAGAGAAAGTTTTCAGCTGAACTAATTTTTTTTTTAGATTAATTCATTTAAAATGTAGAACTTGGAGAATTTGTTTACAATTACTTGCCAAAATTGCTTGCTTCAGACCTTTCTCAATATCTTTTATTTTCTGGCCATCACCAAGGGGCACAGGCTGCCTTATGCCTTACAGTCTCTCTCTGCGAGATGAAGGATGGGATGAACAGAACTGTTCATCTCTCACAGTGATAGACTGTAAGGCATAAGGCAGCCTGTGCCTTCCTTCATCTAAAATAAAATTAAAGACTGAAAATCTGTGGCTGTCAACCCATAGGAAACATTGTAAACCACAAAGGAAAAATAGTGAAGGTCTTGCCCGCATGTGTCACACAATAGATGGGGGATGCTTTTTCCTCACCCTCTCCTATTGTGGTGTTTCCACTACAGCATGTCAGGCCGTACTAAGCGATACAGTGCAACAAAAGCTATTTGTCAGCTCTCACCTCTGCGCACAAACAGCAGTAGTAAAAAAAGACTGTAGTAACTAGGAACATCTTGATACAACATTTTTCAGAAGGAAATATAATTGAGCATTTCCTTAATTTCTGAAGGAAGGAAGAGAGGAACCTACTGAATACTTTCCAAACTGCATTCAAATAACTGGTAGGAGGCCAAAGCAGGCATTCACAACCACAGCGAGCTTCCTCTTTGAGGATGAAATGCCTTTCTGGATGCTGATTTAAAATTAAGTTTAATTGGTTCAGATGTCACCAGCATGAGAGAAAGAGTAGCTTATGGGCAAAGTGCTCAGCAAAAGGAAATGAAACCATTAACACAATGCGAAGAGCCCAAAATAAGCAAACAGTCATGCAGCTAATAAAGGTAACTCATGGACATTATGTACCTTGATTTTCTTGGAAGGCCTCTGCTTGAGGATGTCAACCAAAGGCATTCCAGAAATCAGGGATGACTCTGGAAAAGTCTAACCCTGCAATCGGATCCAGAAGGACTCAGACTTTATCCAGCACAGAACTGCCCCAAATTGGGCTGCTGGGTCTCTAACGCAAGCAGCACATCCTTGTATTAGCTTTTGCTGTAGGAATGAGTCAATATAAAGAGTTAGCTCTCAAATAGCACTTGACAGCACTCATTAGTGAAAAACTGACTGCGGCTGCTCTTTTATTTTTCCCACCAAAAAGATTATTTGCCTCTTTTTACAGGGTGAAAACATTTTCTAAATTCCTAACAATGTAAAAAATTCAAAGTATTCTCAGATCCAAAATGCTTCATTATTTTTTATAACTTTTGGCTTTAATACTACTGTTTCAAACATGAACAAATAGACCGATCTT